TCATCAAAATTATTGTAATTTTGTATTTCTGGATTGCCTTTCTTATTTTATTATTATTGGACATGGTTACATTGAAATTAATTTAACTTTTGTATTTGTTGAATTGTCCTGGGACAAACTGTCCCATAGCTAGTTGGCTGCAATGAATTGTCCCACGGCAGGTTGGCTGTGGTCAGTTAGGCATGGAAAGTTGTCCCATTCCTTTATAGCATTGCAGTAGTGAGCTGAAATCGAGCCTCTGCAAACAGAGAAAATTGGATATACAAGATACAGATATTATCATTAACACATGCAGGTCAGTAGAGGGGAGTGTTGCTGTGATGCTTCTCAATATATCTTTCCTTATATGTGATTATTATACATTTGAATAAATTTTATATAGTTGTTTGTAAGGTAAGCAGTCAAGAAAGAATATGGATTCATAACTTAAACAATTCAACGTTACAAAAATAAGTAGTACAAAGAAAAAAAAATAGCTCCTAAGAACTATAAATCAAATATATATGGGATGGATCACCTATTATATTTTTCCCTTTTTATAATCATAAGTACAATATGGAAGTTATATAACACCTAATCAAATAAAGTTTGATATAGTCAGTATATGTATGACAAAATGCAACTTTTTTCTCGCTTTGTTTATATCCATACTGATGAACAGTTCTGGAGAATTCAAGAGGCTTTTCTTTACTATTTTGTGATCTATTGAACATTCTGATATAGATATTTTGATATTTGCCCCAGAAGATCAATCTTCTTGATTTTTTTTTTAAAAAAAATTCTCTAGGATTAAGTCTTTTCTTGAGGCACTTTTTATTCAGTATCAATAAGTCTAAACATTTCCTGAAGAAACTTCTATACATAAGTTTCTGGAGGAATGTTTTACAAGTTATAGAAGTATTGTTATTACACTGTTATACATGCTTTGGTTGTGGAGCAGTTTGAATAATTCAAATTCAGAAATATTCAAAAATAATTTAACATGACAGAATTTTTCTTTATATTCAGGTTTTTATGTAATAAACCTGAAGTACTGTATATTCATGTAAGCAGATTCTAGTTAGCAGAATGAACATTAGACTGGACTTCAGAAAAATGTACATAATTTTTATGTGATGTATGTAGAATATATGTAAAGTTCCTGAACCCAGTGAACATTATAGTGAACATAATTAAGGTTAATATTGGAATTATGAAAACATTGGAACAGTTACAGACACAAGCCAATGGGATAGATCTAAACTATTTCTGTATACAGTTCTCATATGATCTTTTACTTGGTAGAATGTGACAACAATATTACAAATCCTCACTTTCAAGTATAACCAGCTTTGCCTGTGCCCCATATTTCCAAATACTGATGTGCTTGGACAAACTCTATTATTCTGTATTTAGTGTAATGAACTGAATGAAAAGAATCTAGACTATCAGCCTAATTAGGCTAGCTTTCCACTTTGGAATAATTATTACTATGTATGAGATGACATCCCATATAATAATAATAATAATAATAATAATAATAATAATAATAATAATAATAGAAGGGACATTGCAGGTCATCTAGTCCAACCCCCTGCTCAGGCAGGAAACCCTCTACCATTTCAGACAAATGGCCGTCCAGTCTCTTAAAAAATTCCAGTGTTGGAGCATTCACCGCTTCTGGAGGCAGGTTATTCTACTGGTTAATTGTTCTAACTGTCAGGAAGTTTCTCCTTAGTTCTAGGCTGCTTCTCTCCTTGATTAGTTTCCATCTATTGCTTCTTGTCCTGCCTTCATGCGCATTGGAGCATAGCTTGACTCCCTCTTCCTTGTGGCAGCCCCTGAGATATTGGAACACTGCTATGATGTCCCCCCCCATCCTCTCTTCATTAAACTAGACATATCCAATTCTAGCAACCGTTCCTTATGTTTTAGCCTCCAGTCCCCTAATCATCTTTGTTGATCTTCTCTGTACCCTTTCTAGAGTCTCAACATCTTTTTTATACCGTAGTGACCAAACCTGGATGCAGTATTCCATGTGTGGCCTTACCAAGACATTGTAAAGTGGTATTAACACTTCACGTGATCTTGATTCTATCCCTCTGTTAATGCAGCCTAGCACTGTGTTGGCTTTTTTAGCAGCTGCAGCACACTGCTGGCTCATATTTAAGTGATTGTCCACTAGAACTCCAAGGTCCCTTTCACAGTTACTGCTATTGAGCAAGGTACCACCTGTGCATTTGGATTTTCTTAACTAAATGTAGAATCTTACTTTTTTCACCATTGAATTTCATTTTGTTAGATAGCACCCAATGTTCACATCTGTCAAGATCCTCCTGTATCTTTTTTTTTAATTGAAAAATTTTTAAAAACTTTTACAAAAACAGAAAAAAAACAATGACAACTACAATAAAACAAAAAAAGACAAAAAAACAAAACAATACAACCCTCCCCCAACCCTTCCCAAATCACCCCCTTCCTCCCCCCCCGAGCTTCCCAGAGCAGAATATAGGCTTAATTAAAAGAAGTTAACAAAATTATAAGATAATTAAGAACAATATATATATGAATAAAGAATTATAAACCTTAAAAAGAAAAAATATTTAAAAAAAAAGAAAAAAAAGTAGAGTTTTTATACAAGTTATAAAAAAGCTAAATGGTATTTTTTCATATCCAATTTAAATTGTATAAAATTTATCCATTTTTCCCATACAGCAAAAAAATTCTCTTGCGTTTGCTCTTTTAAGAAAGCCGAAATCTTTGCCATTTCCGCCAAATAAGATACTTTAAAAAACCACTCTTGCAAAGTAGGCAAAGATTCCTTCTTCCAATATTGACCTACTAGCAGCCTTGCGGCTGTAATCAAATTCAACATCAATATAACCTCCTTAGCATCACAATCAGTAACAATACCAAGCACAAACAATTGTGGAGTAAATTTTACCCTCTTTCTAAAAATTCTCTGAATGTTCCACCATATCTTAATCCAAAAAGCTTTTATATTTTTACACGAACACCAAATATGATAATAAGTGGCATCCAAACAGCCACATCTCCAACATTTAGGCTGTAAGTCAGGATACATGAGAGACATCTTTTGTGGATCAAGGTGCCATCTATAAAACATTTTATAAAAATTCTCCCTTAAATTCTGGGCTTGTGTAAACTTAACATTTCTCACCCAGATAGTTTCCCAGGTATCCAGTAGAACTGGTTCACCAAAATTCTGCGCCCATTTGATCATACAATCTTTAATTAATTCTGATTCTGAATCCAGTTCCACTAGCACCCCATAAATTCTTTTAATATGAGTTTGTCTTTGATCCTTTACTTGCTTGAAAAGATTTTGATCTTCTCTAAGCAGACCTAAATTACGATCCATCTTCCATCTATCTAAAAGATCCTCCTGTATCTTAAGCTTATCTTCTGGAGTGTAGCTGTTCCTGCCAGCTTGGTGTTGTCTGCAAATTTGATAAGTTTCTCCATCTATTCCCTCATCCAAATCATCGATGAAGATGTTGAACAGCACTGGGCCTAGAACAGAGCCCTGGGGCACCCCACTACACACTTCCCTCCTTGTAGATGTAGTTCCATTGAGGACTACATGCTGAGTATGACTGGTCAACTAGCTACAAATCTACCTGGTAGTGATGCTGTCTAGCCCACATTTTTCTATCTTATCAAGTAGTAGGTTGTGATCTACTTTATCAAATGCCTTACTGAAGTCCAAGTAAATTATATCCACAGCATTCCTATGGTCCACTAATTTTGTCACTTCATCAAAGAATGCAATAAGATTTGTCTGGCATGATCTGTTTTTGACAAACCCATGTTGGCTTTTAATAATGACTTTGTTTGCCTCTAGGTGTTCGCTGAGACATTGTTTGATTATCTTTTCCAGAATCTTCCTAGGTATTGAGGTCAGGTTGATAGGCCTTTAGTTTCCCGGATCTACTTTTTTCCCCTTTTTTGAAGATGTGAACTACATCAGCTCTTTTCCAGTTCTCTGGTAGTTCCCTAGTGCTCCAGGATCTTTGAAAAATAAAGTTCAGTGGTTCTGAGATCACATCTGCCAGTTCCTTGAGAACCTTGGGGTGTAATCAATCTTGTCCTGATGATTTGAACTTATCTAGGCTGGACAGGATCTCATTTACCATTTTCTTGCCTATCTTAACTTGTGTTTCTAATCTGTTTTTTATGGTACTATTTTTGATAGATTGGACTGTTTTTTCCCTTTGTGCAAAGACAGTTGCAAAAAATGAGTTAAATAGTTTTGCTTTCTCTCTCTTGCTTGCCACCTTCTTGCCACTTTCACCCACTAATGGACCAGTCATTTCCTTAACCTTTTTCTTGTTTTTCATATGTTGAAAGAAGTTTTTTTTGTTATTTTTTTACTTTCATCGCAAGCCTTAGTTCATTTTGAGCCTTAGCTTCCCTCACTTTGTCTTTGTAGGCTCTGGGTATTTGCTGATATTCTGCCTTAGTTATGCGCCCCTCTTTCCACTTTTTATACTTATCCTTTTTATCTTTCAATTTATCAGAGAGTTCTTTATGCAGCCATGCTGGTTTCTTTTGAGAGCTGTTATTTTTTTTCTTTGTTGGTATTGTGCTAGACTGTGCTTTTATTTTCTCACTTTTCAAAATTTCCCAAGCTTCTTGAGGTTTTTTCCTCTTGAGGATTCTCATCCATGGAATTCTTCCCTGTAGGGATAAGAGACAGGAGAAAGTTGCGAGCAGAAAACTGTCCTACCAACGCTTGTGCCTTTGTTATGCATCTTCTTCTTCCCCCCCCCCCACATCACCATGGTGACGTGACGCAGGTCTATGTGACTTTGCCAATTTGATAAGGCTAATGGGTGAACAACAAGTTTTCCTGTTTATGGCCTCTAACTTTTTACTCTAGAGGATTGGTAAAGGATTTTAGCCAATGAAATGCTGTTGCCATGCTGTATCTATTGCTATTTGAAAAACTCTATAAAAACAATAAACGGCTACGTTCGGGTGGCCATTTCTTTGCACCCTTCAATGACTAAGGAGTGATTACTACAGCTGGCGCCCTCAGCAGGGACATTTTGTTTTGGAACCCCTACGGGAAGAAGCAGCTGCCAACATACTTACCATCGTCTGGAACAGACCCTTAGGTGCACTTTCGTCTTACGAGACCCCTTAGTGAGTAAGTATGGGCTGTAAATTATTTCACCCTCAGCAAAAGCATGTACAGGAGTTCAGACTCCTGCTACAGAAATCAGGCTTGGCAACGCTTGAAACGAACATAAGGAAGCTGATTGGGGAGATAAGAAAACAGTGTTCTTCGAATCTTAAGCATCGGAGGCTTAGGCTAAAACACCTATAGTGTTCACTCCTGTCAGATAGAAAAGAAAAAAAATGGACCCAAATATTTCAGAACGGCAATTAACTTCAGCCCGCTTCTGCTTGCAACTAAGTAAAATTTATTCCTTTAAAAAACATCTTTAATTGGATTTTCAGCTTCTTCTGAAGAGGCTAATTCTTTGCTGATTAGTTAAAGTCATAAATCAAATTTACTCCCTCAGAACAAAGTCTTTTGAGCAATCGGAATGCTCTGCAATATATTAAGTTAGCCGTCAGACAAATGTCTGGTTGTGTTTTGTGTTATGTGTGTGTGTGTGGCTACTCAGAACATTATGCTTGGGCTTGGAATGGTGAGAAAAATGGGAAATGATTAGGGCCCTCAAAACCACTTTTTGGTTAAAATCACCTTGTCATTTTTCTCGCTTCTTGCAGGACAAGTTATATGTCTAAATAAATGTTGTTGTAACAGTATCTGTGTATATACATTTGTTTGTGTTGTTCTGTGTTATTCCAAGACTTGGAAAAGGCTCAAAGCCCTCTCTGATATCAACAATACAAAAAGGCCTTGCTAAGAATATATGGTTTGCCTGGAGAAAGTATGAAATGAAATAATTGTATGTGGAATGGTTTTATGCAAACAGTCAGTATGAAACTGAATGAGTTAATTTGTTGAAGTGTGTGTTAGCCTTTAAAACCCACCCATTCTTTCCCTAACTGTGAAAATAATAGTAAATATTTGTATGAGATAATTTATTGCAAAATGCATAGGAAGGAGGTGAAACTATTTTTTGGTGGTGATATTTCCCCCCCCCCTCTCTTCGGCTGGCTGCGTAGCTTAAAAAGCCAGAGACAGGAAGGAGGGGGGGGGGAACTGTTCGTTTAAATTTTTTTTCCTCTGCTTGGAATTGTAATCTGAGAAGAGTGGAGTGAATCTGAAACTTGACATTCACCTATGCAGTTTCGGCAAATAAATTTTTTTTTACTCAAAAGAGAAACAGCAATGTTGGACAATATTTTTTATATCCAACAGCCAAAAGAACTAACTGAATTACATTGTTATAGATTTATAAATGTTTAACCTATTTATATACAAATTGTTTCCATCTGAATGGATTTTGCTTAAATTGACGCACCAAAGATACAATTTAATTGGCTTTCAAAAAATATAAAATGATTTAGGATTGCAATAAGTCCCAGAAAAAAATATAGTTGCACAAATTGATGACATCATGAATACTCAATTTGTGGACAGAATTTTACACTTTTGATTTTTTCCTACTAGTAAATTACCTAATGGAGCGTTAACTGTAATAGAAGTACAGAAAGTATATTGAATTGAATAATATTTACTTATACCATATCCCATCCCAAAATGTTTTATTTTTTATCCAGGTGGTTGCTAAAATGATAACCTTAGGAGGCACAAGAGCTTGCCGTGGAAAAGGAACTGATTAATTAATATTGTTTTCAAAAATAACTTATCTCTTTAATGTGCTTTAACTGACTATATAGGCTGTATTTCATATCATTTGCCTAATGATTTTTGACTTGCTTGTTTCCTTTCTAGTCCAGACACTATTTTCTTCCTCTTTTTCCCTTGCCACAAGTTATTGCTTTTTCTGATGGAGGGTGAATGAGGAGCAATTGTTTACAAGGATGATATCTGGAAAGTGTCCTACACTGCAATGCAACCCTTATCACAATGCTCAGAATTATTTTAGCTTTTCAAATCTTTTCTCAACAGTCTTTTAACTTAATCTCTGACTCTCATTAAGTGTGCCAACTTACTTTTACTTCTTCAGGTGCTTACATCATGCCCAGGATTGGCCCCAATCTTCTGACTTTGTTTTTAACTTTGCAGCAGCTGCTCCATAACTGAAAGCATTTATTATTTTGTATCTCATATACACAATCACTCCTCCCTTCCTGGGCCTAATTTTTTTTTGTATGTCTTTTGTATGTCTTTTTTATGTCTTTTATGTGGTTTTGCCTCTAATCAACTATGACAAATGGACATTATCCATGTTCTCTCTTTTTGGCTTTTTAGAAATGTATATTCACAAATAGGTATTTAGGAACAATTTCCCCCACCTCTATGAGGGGAAACAGGTTCACATGTTATTTTTTATCTTTTTTTGGACAATTTTATACAACCTGAAATATTGTTTTTACTCATGGTCTTCTCTATAATTCCACGGGTCAAGCTATCGTGGAACGTGCTAATTGGTCTTTCAAGGACTGCCTTCACAAACAAATAAAAAAGGACGGATTATCTAGGATACCCAATTTGTCGTGGGTAATACAACAGGTTCAAAAAGTATTATTTACATTACACCAATTGAATATTTCCATTCCAAATTTGACTGCTTATCAGAGACACTCTCAACAGAAAACAAGCTTGCCTCCACCTCTGGCAAATCGGGCATTACCAGACAAAGCATGGTTGGGATCAGTCCCTCTGATCACTTGGGGGCGGGGCTACGCTGCTGTGCTTGCTCCAACAGGACCTTTGCGGATTCCAGCGCGTTGTGATCACCCAGCCAGGGATGTCGTTGCACCAGTCCCTGGACCCAGTCCCAGAAATGGCAAGGGTGACTCTACAGATGGCACAGCAAGTAATCCAATCCTGACATGCCAGGCAGCCAGTGACATGGGGAGATGTAAAGAACTTGATCCCCGAGAACCTGTATGCTGCCATTTTTGCGGTTTTAACTGCAAATTTCTTATCCATCATTTGTTTATGTCTGATTGTTAACATCTGCCCTTTGACAACTGTAACTGTCATCCCACTCAAACAATCATTCGAACGAATGAAGCAAAATCTAACATCACACAAAATGACTTCTTTTGTTTATCTGAAATGTATTACATGTAATTTGCTTTCTATATGTTTAGTCTTTGTTTGCACCCCTTCTGCAGTAATTCAAAACTTCACTGACTCTGGGAGGTTATTGCTTAAAAAACCTCACTGTCATTGCATTGGCTCACCTGCTTTAAATTGCACAGCTTCAATAGAGACTTCCTTTCATTTTGGACATGCTTGGCTACTGCAAGGAGGGTTTTTTTACGTGTGGTCAAGAAACTTTAAATTATATTCCTGCTAATATTAGTGAAGCGCAATGTGGCCTCAGCCAGCTGATTCCTGTTTTGCTTTCCAAACAACAAGTTCACACGAACCATTCTCCACGTGATGTCATGCTAGACAACACTTGTGACTTTGAGACAACCTTACTTTGTAGCATTGGCTATATCTTTAGTGGGTGTACAAGGACTTGCTGTTCGTGCCCACCTCAACATTAATGCTATTATATGAAATTTGGCAAAGACAATTAATACTACTTCAACTATTTCAGCGATCAACCATGAACTGCAAAATTTGAGAAGAACTATTTTGCAAAATCACGTTGCAATTGATTATATGCTTCTACACCAGCATTTCGGTTGTAAACGTTTTGAGGAAATGTATTGTTTCAATATTTTTGATAATTCATGAACCATCCAGCACCAGATTTAAATTTTACACAATTTGGCCTTTGATTTGAAAATTGGTACCTTAGGATTTTTATAGATGCTGCTTATGTAATGTATTTCTTTCATTTTGCAATATATGTATTAGAGCTTTAAATCCCAGTAGATCCTCTCTCACATTGCCTCAGGGTCAAGTTTTGGCCCTATATTAACAACTGCAAGGATGCTCCTCTCCTAATTATAATCTTTTTATTAACCCCGCTTATGGCGATATTTCGTCTAACAAAACAAAAAGGAGTGAGATGTAGGGATAAGAGACAGGCGAAAGTTGCGAGCAGAAAACTGTCCTAACAACGCTTGTGCCTTTGTTATGCATCTTCTTCTCCCCCCCCCCCACATCACCATGGTGACGTGACGCAGGTCTATGCGACCTTGCCAATTTGATAAGGCTAATGGGTGAACAACAAGTTTTCCTGTTTATGGCCTCTAACTTTTTTACTCTTGAGGATTGGTAAAGGATTTTAGCCAATGAAATGCTGTTGCCATGCTGTATCTATTGCTATTTGAAAAACTCTATAAAAACAATAAACGGCTACGTTCGGGTGGCCATTTCTTTGCACCCTTCAATGACTAAGGAGTGATTGCTACACTTCCCAAGATCTCTTTAAGTTTACTGAAATTGGCTCTGTTAAAGTCCAAGACTCTAGTTTGACTGTGTTCTATTGCTTGTGCTTCCATAATGTTGAATTTCAATATTGCATGATCACTTCCTCCCAAGGTTCCTGTGGCTTCAACACCTTCTGTCATTTCATCTCTGTTAGAAAAGTCTGTTATAGGGCCAAGAGGCTTAAGAGGTGGTACAGAGGTTAAAGGAGTGGTACAAATTAGCAAAACATCCACATTTCTCCATTTTTTTGAAATGATCAGTATCTCTTTTGTGAACATAAGTTCTTTACTCATTTGTAAAATACTGTTTTGGAATGAAGCCATTATTTTTCTCCTTCTTTGCTTTAAGCTTGAAACTTGGTTTTGTCAGCTGTATTTTAAATTTCTACTTCTTTCAGCCTCAGGCAATAAACTAATTAATTGTTGAAGAATTTTTTGCCTACTTTATCTTGTAGAAATAGCAAATGCTTCAGTTTATGTTATGTTTTGTTTCTTAATTACTTAAATATATTGTAAGATTTACTATCAAGCGAATTTGTCAAATTGACATTGTGTGGCTGTTTAAGATTTAAAATCTTTTTTTCCACTACTTTTTCTTGCTTCATTTACCTATAATCTGTTGTTGAATCATGTTCCATGAAATGATCTGGGTTGTATAAATACAGATTTTTTTTAAAAAAAACTTTTTGCTGTCATTTAATGGCTGTCTGGATTTTTTTTAGGGGATGATTTTATTGCAAGTACAAGATTGAACATCTTTTTCTTTAAAATAAATGCTCTGTTCCATTGATGATGGCTTGCTTTTCAGCAATATCAATATATTAAATATAATAATCTATTAAATATAGAAAATTATTTCTGATTTTATTCTTGTCATCATATTTTTAATCTCATTCAATCAATCCATTACTTTAATCTTATATTACTTTATATGTTTACATTATATTTTTATTTTGTACAATACCTTGAATTGCTGTGAATGATAAGTAGCATTTGATTAACAACACAGTAATATCAGAATACAGACAGACTTTGAAGCATTCATTTAAAATCATAAGCAAACAGATTTCCTCATACTTCTTTAGAAGTAAAAAATCTAGAAAAACAACACTTTCCCCCATTTGATAAGAAGTGGATTCAAATGCATTATAAAAATAGCTTTTGTAAGTATGTCAGAATTCCTGCAAGACTTATCTCCTGTTGCAATAATTTGTTTGCTCTTAAAGTTATTTCTTCAGTGTAGATGTTTTGTTTTCCTGAGGCAAAGAACAAGTGTTGTTTCCATTTCAAATCGAAGTTCAGTACCAATGCTTGCCAAAAATATTTTGGCAGTTGATTCAGAAAACTGTCCAGAGAGGGTAAAAAGAGAGAGACAACATGTCTCTGGCTGAGGAATACTGGGAGTTGTAGTCCACAAGTCATAAAAGGGCCAAGTTTGAAGATCCCTGTGTTAGTACAACAATTACTACTCATAGTTATAGTAATAACCACAACATCAATTTGGTGTTCAATCTTCTTATCCTAAATCTGGTGCCTAAGATAAATGTCTCATCTTTCCTAAAGGCATTGTTTGTCCTATCTTGACAGAATTAATCCCCCATTCAATAAACAAATAAACAAACAACAACTTGAAAGTCTATTGCTATCTCAACTGGGACCAGAGCATGATTATAGTGATGACAGCATCTTCTTTTAGAAAATTTAAGTATGCAACTCATACTTTGAACTAAGGCAGAGAAAAATCTCTTTCTACCCATTCCTGGTTGTTGTGAAGGTGGCCACATTTGTGACAATGGATTTAGAATGGGAGAATCACAGAAAGAGTTAGTCTTTCAGCTGTCATTGTTGATTTATTTATTAAATTTATATGCTGCCATCTTATTATCCAAAGAAATAATTTTAATGAACTGCTTCAAAGTGAGATTCCAACTTTTCTTTTTTAGGAATCTTTGGGTTTCACTCGCTTAAAATCAGATTTATTAAAAGTCTATGTGAGTTTTGTTTGCTTGTTATATTTTGTTTTGTTTTCACCATAAGATTGAGATTATCATAAGATTATCATTATGATGTGATAAACATGCTAAACATCATGAAAAGTAATGCATTTTTAGGTTACACTATATTTTGATCTTGGAAAATGATTTCTAATTCAGAATCCACTAACTATAATCAAACACAACTTGATAGAGCTTTGTTCTGCCAGTGTTTGATATTTCCAGTGGCACTGCCTAGTGTGCATCTCTAGCCATTAGTAAACCACAGTGGGTCAGATGAAGAGATTCTAAAGAGCCAGATAAAGGGAAGCAAGATGACAAACATATTATTTACAATTTCTAAGTTGAAAACATGGGGCCAATTAATAAATGATTTGTGGACAGATGAAAATAATAGAGTAGCTATATAAAAACTAGCAAATGTTTACAACTAAAAATAAATTATAATTGTGAAAAAAAATGAAGGAAAGAATATAAAGTAAAATATATTGATAATTCATGAGAATACCTCATTACCCAGAACCACACATGTATACACAAACATTACAGTCAAAACAAATGTCAAAGCAATAATATCCTATATTAACAGCATTAACATTGTAGAACAGACTGTCCTCTTTGGGGATAAGCACATGCAGTCCATCCTGAAGATCTTCTTTGAGGATGGTACAGGACTGGGCAGAGGTCATATCTTCATACCAGTGGGTGGCATCTCCTCCTCTTCAAAATGATCCTCAATGGCAAACTTTCCATCAGCCAACTGACTGCCCGGCCTTTGCACTGCTTGCTGACCACCTTGTTCTTAACCTTAGACAGCTTCTTGCCCTTGCTGAGGATGGCCTTGGCATTGCGAGGAGAGAGGGTCAGTGCCCCATTTTTTCTTCTGAGGGCCGATTGCAGGACTTTGCTCTTCTTGCAACAAACTTTCTCCTGGGAACTTTTGATGCCGCTGTAAGTTGTTTCTGATATTTTCCATTTTTTCTTCTTGGGCTTTCCCTCGGCCCTCAGCTCTCTACACAGTATGGATAGGCTAGTTTTTACAGACTTGATCTTCCTGCTGTCACTCTTGCCCATGGAAACCTGTCGCAATGAACCGAGTGTGCTTGCATTTCCTAGGCCGCCCTGGTCCCCGTTGAGCTGGACTCCAGGAACTCTCCTCTCGCTCATGGTCATGCCGCCTCTGCAGTTTGGCCAATTCCCACTGTTTCTCTTTGTAGCATCGCTGCAGTTCCGCTAGGTGCATGTGCATCTCCACTTCCTGTGGGTCCAAATTCTCAATTGCTGCTTTCAGAGAGCAAACAGGCTTGGCTTTAGGGGTCCAGATGTATTTCCGTTGGGGGACCTGCATGCGAGGGCGCAGCCATGCGGCGAAACCTCTTCCAGCTCAACAGGAGCAGTAAAAAGCTGCGGGCCAAAGAGGTATATACAAGTATATACAACTCTTTTTCTAATGCCTGGGCTGCCCAAGAACAAGAGTCAGTATGATTTGAGCAGAGACCTGTTGATCCCTACATCCAATTTTCCCTTCTCTCCTACTGTCTCTATCTCAAGGCAACACACAGCACTTATTTCCTATCTTTTTCATGCAGTGCTGCTTCTTCCAGCCCACTACACAACACAGGTGGATCAATATCCAAGATATTGGATTGAATGTTGAACAAGTTATGCATATCTATCCCATTTACTGTTTATTTTCCCATTCCATGAATAGCTAGGATCTGTATCAGAGCAAACCTATCATAATAATAGTTGATCCAAAGAGAAGGTAGAGGTGGCACAAGAGGAGGAGGAGGAGGAGGAGGAGGAGGAAGCCTTTAAAATTCTGTTTTTGCAGTACCAGTAATTCTAAAATTAATATAACATTATTTGTATTTAAGACAGCATACAATAATGTTAGGATTCATTTTATTATTGGGAAGCATTAGAACCATTTTTTTTAATAAATGGGGTTTCTTGATGACTATTTATTACAGAGGAAGCTGTCTCAACTTATTCCAGTTTCCTCCTAGTATTACTGTCTTGATAAATCTGATATGACTGTTCTTTCTAAAGTAATGGAATTTTTACTTTTACCCACAGGATGAACTTTAGAAAGTGTTTAATCAGAGATTTTATGCTCCAGAGGACCTTCAGAACTCAACTAATTTGAAAAGCCGATATTCTGAAGCCAAAATAGCAACTTAGTTATTAAAGGCAATTATCTGTACAGGAAAGAGGGGAAAAGTCTTCAAATCTTTTCTTTTCAAATCTCAAGTGCTTACTGCATGACTCTGCATGAATCAGAGGGATTTATTTGATTCCCCTCACTGATCTCCACCTGGAAATTTTATAATAAATAATAAATGTATTATTTCTCTATTACTGACCTTTTTCTTTTTTGCCCTGTTTACAATTAGCCATCTTTTGTTACATCATCTTACAAAATTCATTGAAAGAATAATGTTTAAACATAATAAAAAGTGAGCTCTGTATTTTTTTTAGGAAATTTGTGTTTCAGTTTATATTATATTTGCCATTTGATTTACTCTTTAAAAAACATTTTTTCTTTCTCTGAGAGCAATACATACATGGGGAGAAAATACTTAAATAGATTATAATCTTTGAAATTCAGAGGTCTGCAGAAAATGACATCCTAACAGCAAGACATTTCTGGAACAAATATAGTGATAATGGAATTTTAATTTACATGAGCAGGGAAACTGAGGAAAACTGGGGTAGAAGCATAGAAAAATGTCTAGCAGGAATTTGAACATTAGTTTATTCAAAGAATATGACAATAAAAGAATCTCATAGAAGCAACAACTGTGAAATTTTAATTTTCTCCTATTGCTTAAATAGGAAAAGGGATCCTTGTGTCAGTTTATAGTCACTGTCTCTTTAAATTACAAAAAAAAGAACTGTGAACCAAATAAGTGTCAGTCTTGACTCCTAATCTGGTCAATGAAATCAGGTACAATTTATATTCATTCAGTGAAAATAAAAACTCTCACCAGTGATTTCCATTTCTTCTCATGATTATTGTATTTTTTTCTGTCTTATCTATATGACTGTTTAAAATACTATAGTTTCTTTTAACACCAGTAGGCTTAAATTAATTACTAGTAGGTCTTCCTACCCTCAATTATCAACAGAATTTCCCTGCAAGAAGAAAACATATTATTTCTTGTCCACATCCTTACCTTTGCTCCAAAATAAAAAATAGATAAAAAATGAAATAGTGCAGATATTTTCTATTGTATGAAAACTTCACTGTAATTTCATCATTTTATGACTCAAAAAAGAAAAATTCTGGAAGGTTTTTTTGATGACTTAAGAATTTAAAGGAACCTAATTCAAAAACTGCTATGCTGATTTTTATCAGACTTGGCATATTTTATGTCTTAGAGCAATCTAGCTTGTCATTACTTTTCTTCCTGATTTGCTGAAAAATGTTGTAGGTAGGTACAAAAACAGATTTAAAATACATTCTGTTCTATGAAATGTTGCTCTTACATAAATATTGATTCTTCCCATTCTATCAGAAAAACAAATATATAAATCCAATATAACTTACAGTATATATGTTTTATTTTTTGGGAATAAAAATAATATTTTTTATTATTGGAAAATTCTCATGTGAAACGATTCTTTACTCATGATTGGCACAAAGTCTATTTCAGAATTGACTAATAAAATGGATTAGATAATCCTTAACACATTTAAGAGGTCAAAATCTATTTCATCTAATTTTGGGTGTTTTTAATGTAAAATAATATAAAATATATATTCTCTTGACTTTCATACTTTAATTAACTTTCTCTGATGAACTGATACTATGGCACATAAAGCTAGTTTAGTAAATTAATGTGATTAAATAATACTTAATTTATAACAATTAATTTCAGTACAGTATTTTTTTGCTATTAGTTTTCCTATTTAGTCAAGTTGAAACATTTGGACTGATACTGATTTGAGTGTATTAGAATTGTTTAGGACTCTGCTTTGGGCTACCTCTGTGTCAGATGTGATATAATATGGTGAAAATTGTCTTTTTCCTTATCCTGGCTGCTCTTCAAAACAGGTCTGGCAAATATCGCTGCTGCTTCATCTCTAATGTCAGCTGGATATTAGTATGCTTTGAAAGCAGGAGATCTTTACAATTTCTGACAACATAAAGTAACCTGGGCTTCATCCCAATTCTGTTCCAGCAGCACATTGAGATTCCACTGTGCCATAAAGCAGCTAAATATAAGTCCTATTTATTTAGATAAATATACATGTAAATCTGGATTTAAATCTGTGGCTGAAGAAATTTGAAAATTACAAGAAGAATGTAATTTACATTACTATATTTGGTATAATCATTATATACTTGTCAAACCTGCCTCAGCTTGAATATCTAAGTAAGAATGATCCTTAACTCCATTTATCGAGAAAGGTATAGTTTACTAGAAGTCAAGTGAATTATAGTAATGAATAGCCAGAACTGAAAATTGTGAGCCAAAATCCCCAAGTCTAACTTTTTCCTACCTTAGTTGCCTCTGATCCTGGGCCCCCATGTCCAAACAAATTCCAACAAAATGTTTTTAGATAACAACTAAGTCATATCTTATTTCAACAACAGGGTCCACTTTTGGATACATATTTACTTGTGCTCACCAATGGGATTCCTGATTATCATGAATTCTTGGTTTTAAATTGTTTAAAAATTCAGTTTGGAGCAGGGAGGGGTACTTACAATTTGCCAATTGTCTTTTTTCCTGTACAGAATAAAACTGATGAATCCAGCATTTTTTCTGGGACAATAACTTGGACTTATACAACTGGCATATCAGTTGTGGATTTTCTTTATAATACTTCCCCTATCAATTTTATTCATTAGAAACACAGAGAAAATGTATTTCTCATGAAATAAAAAAATAAAGCTTTATTAGATTCAGTTATGGAAATTGTATAATACAGTTATGTATAGATTTTTATAAATAAAGACACATTTAGAAACTTTGTCCTTTTGAAAGTTTTTTTTTTAAAGTATATCTGTCCTTTTTAAAGTTTTATTTTTTTAAAAAACTGGAAGAGCTGAAAGAATTAGATTTGGAGATAATGCATAAGATAGAAGGACAAAAGGGAAAGGGAAGGAAGTAAAGTATTCCTTAGGAACTCTAAAGGCCAGAAAAATGGATGTTGAGGGTGTTCATATGCCCTACAAATTTCAGGTAACACAGTTCAGGTTTTCTTAAGGAAAAAAATATTTTGATTTTGTATATGCAAAGTTTCAGCTATGCAGGATACACATGCACACACAAACACATATATTCTACAAATATTAAGCCTAGTACCATATATTCCGGCATATAGGGTGACCCGGCATATAAGACAACCCCCTAGTTCAACGCCGGGTTGCAAGACGATTGACGCTGAGTCGCAAGACGATCGACGCCAAGTCGCATGCCTAGAAAGTCATCTTATATGCCAGAAACTACTGGTATTTCCGGCATATAAGACGATCGACACCGAGTCGCATGCCTAGAAAGTCATCTTATACACTGGAAACTACGTTATTTCCGGTGTATAAGACGATTGACGCCGAGTCACATACCTAGAAAGTTGTCTTATATGCCAGAAACTACCTTATTTCCGGCATATGACTTGGCGTATAAGATGACCCTCGAGTTCGGAGGCTGTTTCAATACTCTCAAAAGTCGTCTTATACACCGGAATATACAGTAATATTTGCCTGAAATAAAAATCTAAATGAAAAACATAAGAGGAAGGAAACAAATGAAAAGAATTGTGTAAAGGGCTTACTTACTGCTCATTCCACAAACCATTATGAAAACTGATCAGATTGTTTTGTACTAATAGTGGAAAAGAAACTTTATAGAGAATGCAAAATATGCAAGGGAGTTATATTAACAAAACTGAGAGGCATCTCGGCTCTGTTTTTCATAAACTGTACTAAATCCAGTAATCTTAACATGTATAAGTATGCAATGGATTAAACAATGCAAATACACTGCTTGGGCTGCTTCTGCATCCACATGATCTTCATTTTCAATGTTCTGTGACAGTTTCCCAGCTAGTCTCATAATCCTTCAGTCCCTCTCACACAGCAGCAGCCACTTATCTGCCTGCTGGGAAGAGAAGGGAAGGGAAATTTCTGATGCTCTCTGCCAGATTCCACAAGGAAACTCAGTGGGGAAGCTGGAAGGAAGTCGAAAATTATTCCTGCTCCCACTGCTTTTATGCCCATCATTGGTTTCTATTTCTCTGTTTAAGTAAGGAAATATTTTTGAAGTGATGAGCCAATGGGGCATGGGTTTTCTAGTATATTTTAAAATTCAGGTTCAGAATACTAGCAAGTTTTTTTTTCAACATTTCTGATTAAAATGTAAAAGTAACTGCATTAATTAAAAACAGTCACAACATTTCAGTAAAATGTAATTTACTTGGCCCATACAAGATGGTTTAGCTTTGTATTTATCTTGTGGCCCATCACACCACACAGCCAATTTGATTCTCTTAGTTGAAGCAAAAAGCAGTAAGATACTTTATATTGCTTTGAAATGTTCCCATAGGCAATAGAACCTTCTATGCATCACTTCTATTGTTACCATGGCCAGAAAGGGTTCATTTAATTATCAGCAAATACAATTTGTTCAAACACTATCTCAGTATTAGGGAAAAATAGAGGTATTATACTATTTACATAATTGATGATAGCTTGACAAAGAAAACTCTTCATCCTCTATAAAATAAATGAGCAAATAAAGAATACATTTTCAGAATCTCAAACCGCATAAATACAAATATTTTTAAATGCAATCAAAACAAACAGAACAAAATAATAATCATGAAACCTTTTAAAACTTGTACCTGAATCCTGGAGATGAACAAAGGCATCCATATTGATAACAATTTCATCTCAGAGGGAATCAGTCTGTACAATAAAAGATGACAACTTTTAAAGTTTGAAAGAATGAGTTTACATTTTCCCCCATAAAGAAAACACCAACTTTTTCTAAGTAAGTCACAGATCCTGATTGTAAGTTCCTGCAGAGTAAGGACTAACTAAGTTTAAAGGCAGGTATGGAGATTGGAGAAGTAGGTGAAGGAATATAGCAGAGAGTAGAGTATACAATGATGATAAAGAGAAGCCTGTGAAGAAGTGCTTGAAATTCCCTTATCAAGGCTTGTATAAACTTATTGTCCCAGACTCTTGCTGCCTAGTTAGAATCTAGGTTATTTGTCAGGCACTGAATAGAGCTGTTGGAATTGCTTATATAAGCAAGAAGGGGCCATAGTCTTCACAAGTAGGGGTTGCCTGTTTGCTGAGCCTGGGATGTCCATTGAGTCTTTTGGTGTGAGGTAGAATCAGA